CTGCAAGACCCCTTTTCCCTCGCAGCGGCCGGGCCTGTCCCTGGCTATACAGGGTCTTTTTTTTTTGGTCTAAAATAAAAAATATCTAGCCTAACGCTGCAAATCAAGGGCAGGGGATGCCTCCCCACTCCTGCTCTGCCTCCCTGGGCAGCTCTCGCTGCTTGGCTGCTGCCCCATGGTTACCTCCAAGCCCTGCATCCCAAGCAATGCCAGCAGCCCTTACACTCCGCCTTGCCCGCCAGCCATCTCCTTCTATGTTGAGGTTTGTTTTCCTCTCTTCCAGAAAGAGGTTGAGGAAGATCAGTGAAACTATGTAGCATGGATTTTATTATTGCATTCCAGCCTCTTGATTTATTTTTTCTTTTTTTTTTTTTTTTAACGTTCCAGTGCTCGCTGGCCCTAAGTCAAACCTTCAACATCTGCTGCTCTTTGACTCTTGCAGCATGGCTTGGACTTTTGGCATCAGCACACCCTGCCTCCCCAGCCCCGATGCTGCACCCCAGCATCCCCTTATCTGCCACCTTGCCCCGATGCACCCCGGCATGGATGCAGGACTGGCAGGGGCTCCCCTTGCCCCCCCTCACCTTGCTGGATCTGCAGCTCCACGAAGCCATGAGCGACCTGCAGAGTGTGGGGCTTGCCGTGCTCCCGCCTGGCCTCCACGGCGTAGCAGCAGTAATTCCCGCTGTCCTGCAGCGTCAGGTTCATCACCACGATGTGAAAGGCACCATGGTGGTAGGGGACAAACTCTACCCCGTGATGGCTGGCTTGCCCCCCGAGGGGGGATTTTTGGGTGCCGTTGCCCAGGGGCTCGTGGTGCCTGCCCACGTCATGGTGCAGCTCCTTCTCGGTGACGTTGCGGATGTGCTTCTTCTCGGAGCAGCTCTGGTCTCCATTGCTGCTGAAGTACCAGGTTTTGTAGAGGAGGTCATGGCGGTCGGCAAGGGGACCGCTGATCCGGCAGGTCAGGGTGACGTTCTGGCCCTCGGGGCAGATGCAGAGCGAGTACGGGGTGGTGATCAGGAAAGCTGCCGTCCCTCCTGCCAGGGAGAAAGCACAGCGGCCGAGTCAGACCCTACAGCCCTGGGCTTTACCCTGAGTTCATAGCAAAATGGGGATCTCTGCCCATCAAGCACTGCAGACCCCACCACTGATGTTGGCAGAGGGATGGCTAGGGGTTGCAGAGAGCAGAGAGCGTGAACACCAGCCTGCAGGCAGAGGGAAAGAAACCTTCACCCATGCCCTTAAGGCAAGGAAAACTCATGAGCTCCCCATATCCCAAGAGAAGGGAGATGGGAAGCACGGCACGAGCCCTTCACTTGCTCTGTAGCAACATCCCAGCCGGGCTGGAAGCACAACTTCACCCTAGAAATAAGCCCTGGAGGGGAAGCATGTTTTAAATATAGCTGAGCATCAGCTTTTAATAGCAGCAGGGAGGCAGGAGTTTGCCCGGGGCTGGCAGAGCCGGGTGGCGTGGGGCAGGGGAGGGGGAGGGTCTGCCCCAGACGCCTGCTTTTGGAGCACCAGACCTCTGCAAGGCGGGGCAGCGGGGTATGGCTTGCAAATGAGGAAATAGAAGTACTGCTGAGCAGGCTGCAAAGAAAAAAAGAGAAAAAAAGAAAAAGAAAATAGCTAGGAGGAGCCTGTGCCCCCTGAGATCAGGCAGGGAGCGGGTCCCACCCTGCTTGTTTTTCAGCCCTTGGGGAGGAGAAGGGGGAACTGGCCAACACCGACTGCGAAAAGCTGCTTGAAAATGAAAACAATTTTCAGAAAGAAATCCCTGACTGCTGCCAGCTGCAAAACATGTAGTGGGAGGCCTGGCAGAGGCGCAGGAGCGTGTCGGTGGGGACAGAGGGAAGCAGAGGAGCGTACCGTGGCGTACTGGTCCCATCCTGGCACACCAGTGGAGGGTACTGGTGGGTAAGGGGAGCTGTGCATGAGGGGAGAGAAAAGAGCAAATACAGGCAAGTGTTTGGTGCTCAGGCCCCACCATCACTTTGTGTTTGCAGAAGTTGCAAACATCACCTTCGAAAGCTGAAGAAAAATGAGATTCTGGGTTCATTTGCTCTAAATTTTTGAGAAAAGGAGGTTCCTGGGGCTGGTTTGCAACAGAAAAGACGGTCTGAAGACAACATGTTCTTTTATTTTGGTAACATCCTGTTGTGCCATTAGCTCCACCACCGTTTCGCTTTGAGGTTTTTCACTTGCTATATTGAGCAGGCATTAATCACAGGCAGGGTGTGCTGTGCCTGCCCGCAAGTCATCCAGCCGGGCAAGAGGCTCCCGATCACCGGGCTGCCTGGAGAGCATCCTCCTCCGTGCAGGGTCACGGCCCTGACACGGGGCTCCGCTTGAGAGAGTGAAAGTGAAAATGTCCCCTGTGCCTTCCACCCCTCGTGGTTATTTATGGCTTTTAGGACTATGGTGATGTCTAAGCCCCGTAAGAACAGCCATGAAGCCCCCAAGTCCTCACAGCCTGCCTGAGAGTGCTTTGCAAGGAGAGGGGGGCTTTGGGGAGGGCATCTGCCCCATCGGACCCCCCCAGTCTGCAGTATGCAGTGCCGAGGAGTCCTGCGGAGCCAGGGATGGCGTGACCTTTGCTGAACCACTCCTGCTAATCGCCCCGGCTTCCTCAGCCGGCTCCCCACGGCACGTGCAGCAGCACATCCCTGGGGCTGCTCTGGGGCAGAGATTTGTGTGGCCAACGCTGCCCCGTTTCTGCTTGTTTCCAAGCCCCGACTGCTCCCCATCGTCGGATGCTGCTGAGGCTGGGATGTTTGGCCGGGCTGGCTGGGTATTGGCACACAGCGGAGTGGGTCCCCCACCTCCTTGCCAGCGTTCCGAGCACAAAAGGCACCTCAGCTGTGTTTCTCGATACCTGCTGCAACAGGAAGTGCTCCATTCACATCGGGGGTCCCCTGGGAGCCAGGGGAAGGGAAGCCAGGGCTCTATTGGAGGAAGCCGCACTTCCAACACCTTGCAACAGTATCTGCGGGAGTCTTTGTTTTCCAACCCCCTGGTCCTCAAATAAAACGGGGCTGTCCGGCTCATCCCCACACAGTTTTGCAAAGCCATGCCTTGCTAAACCATCCAGCCTCCACCCCCGGGACTTGATGGGAACCGTCTGGATGGAAAGTCAACACAGCCCACGCTTTCGGCAGCAGCGCCCAGCCGTGGGGAGGGGCAGAGGTTACCATGTGTGCGAAGCCTTCAGCATTACCAACTTCCCTTCTTTCTCCCGAGCAGGGGAAGGCTTCCAAAAGCCAGCGAGCAGAGGAGAAAACAGCTGGGGAGGAGGGCTGGCGAGGCACGGCATGCCCCATGGCAGTGCCAGGGAGGTTGCTGTTCCCTCCCCAAGATATAACGAGACTTTAAAGCCATGCTAGATGCCAGATGGTGCCCGGAGGAAACATCTTCTGTCAGCATCTTTACACTAAAGCTCGTAGATCTTAATCTTCCCTGGGTGCTGTGGGCTTCTTCCATGCCCAGACCCCAGGTCTGGCTCCATCCCATCCCACGCGGACCATTCCCTTTGAATTCAGGGCTGCTGGCAAATGCCAAAATAAAGCCAGATGCCCAGCTCCACACAGCTCCAGCCAAGGGAGCCGGGGGAGCGCTGGACGCTTCAAGGTCCAAGATGAGAGCTGTTGTCTTGTCATCATCTGGTAAAGACCAAGGAGGTCTCAAGGGGGTGCCAAAAGTGCCCCTCTTCTTCTTTGGCACCTCGGTAACTTTGGCTCCTCCCCACCAACCTGTAGCCTTGCAATGGCGCAGCACAGAGCCCGGTGCAGCGCTGGTGCATCCCCAGTGCCAGCACCGCTGCCCAGCTTGAAACCTGGGAGCTCTTCTTTCAGAGAAAACAATGTGAAGAAGAAAAGTGCTAAAGCCACAGAGCCTGTGTTAGTTCGCCAACAAACAGCTTAAATAAAATAGGATTTCATGTCGAATTCTGGGTGGGTGAGCAAAAGCCTCTCCTGGGTGCTTCTCCTAACTTTGGTCCCCTGCTATGGCACGCAGGTGTTTGATTTACACTCCTGTGACTTGCAGAAGTGATTTCCACATCATGTCACCTGTTTCCACTCCAGGGAAATCTGGGTGGGAGGGCTGCGGCCTTTGGAGGGGCTCATCAGCAGCAGAGGAGGGGCAGCCCATCGAGAGAGCAGCTGCTCTTAAAGGTCTTTTCCAACCTAAACAATTCTATGATTCTATGATTCTGTGCTCGGTGCTGGAGCGAGGAACCCAGCTTTAATTAATTCCTCTTCTGGGAGCTTTTGTAACAGCCTCACGTGAAAGTGCCGCAAGCCCCATCGTCACTGTGCTGTCATTACGCTTCAGAGTTACCAGCTGGGGGAGATGTGCAGGGGCAGCCATACCTCGTCACAAGTACTTAGAGCAGGAAAGAAAAAGAAGGGCTTACAGCAGGAAAGAAAAAGGAGAGACAAAATTTACTGAAGATACTAGAGACGCCCATGTTAATGGCCCTCATCTCCTGCATCCTGAGGAGCCAAATGGCTTTTCAGTGGCGGGGCCGCTCCCTGGGTACCCATCATCCAGGCTGTGGGGAGAGCAGCCTGGGGCTGCTGCACCCGCAGGAGGGTCCTGCCTTGCTCCTCTTCCAGCACGGCCCTGGCTTGGGGACAGGGTCACAACGCCGGGTGTGTGCTTGGGATGTGATTTGAGAAAGCCCAGCTCAGCTGCCATTCCTTGGGTAGCGAGGAGCCACTTCCCCATCCACCTAGCTGCCAGTGTCCCCAAACCATGTAGGAGCTGGATGTCTCCAAGAGTTCTACTTCTCCATCAAGCCCTGCTAAAATTAGCCAGGGGTTCAGAAAGTTTTGGCAGGCGTGCAGTTGCATGGAGCTCAGTTCCTCTGGCACCAGGTTCAGGTTGAACATCGGTGTCCAAGCCTGTGGTGTTGCCGAATGCCTGATGTTCTGTCCCAGCACCCCAGACGCGTAAATGAAATAATCTAAAGCCCCGTGGAGATTCTGGGAATCGCTCCCTGATGTTGAGAGGCTCGGATGAGAGGAAAGCACACTTCAATCCGCACCAGCCTTGCTGTCCCAGAGGAGAAGGGACCCCCCCTGCCCCATTGCAGGGGGGCATCATTTCTTCCTGGGGCCGTACCGGCAGAAATCCTGGAGGCAGTCACTTTGCCATCCCAGGACAGAGGGAGAAGCCAAGCCTGATAGGATGCTCATCCTCTGCCTGCAAAGGGCAGGGAGGGACCACAGTCCTTCCCACCTTCGTCGTCTGACCCTCCATCCGCAGACAAACTGCGATTTTAATTGCCACCAGCCCTGTTTCACCACCTAACCCCAGAGCCCTGGTACAGAAACGCTGCCTGCCAGGGCTGGTGCAGAGTCAGGCATGAAGCAGCCCCCCCTCTCAGAGCATTCCCCCTGATGAGCGGCCGGCAAGCTTCCAGCACAGGGAAGAGCTTGCTCGGGGGAAGGGAAACTCGGCGGCGCTCGGGGGAAGGAAAACTCGGCGGCCGGACACGGCAGTCCTGGCCCCGCCAGTTGCCCACCCAGAGAAGCTGCCCAGCACGTCCCAGCGATTACAGGGGATCCTTAGAGAGGGCATCCTGGCCCTGCTCTTGCAAACCACCTCCCTCCGCTCCCCCAGGGCTGATAAAAGGTTCCTTTCACCACTGTGCAGCCAGGGACCTCCGCAGTGCCGGGGCAAAGTGCCGTGCGGGAGCTTTTCCAGCTCGGGATCTGTGGAGGAGGCTGGCAGGGACAGGGGTAGCTGCTTTCCTTCCACGCACATTAGATCAAAGCAAAGGAGGAAGGAGGAAAACCCAATCCCGGAGTTTTAAAACAGCAGCTCCCCCATGGCCCCTTTCCCCCGACGCAACCAGCGTCGCGTGAAACGCTGACTTGATCCCCACCCCCCCGCCGCTCCAAAATCACAGGGGAAGTAAGTAAATAACCCTCCAAATGCCCCAAATTCCTCATGCAGAGGCACAGCCCTGGCTGGGCAAATGTGGTGCCCCTGTGAGGAGAGTTTCTCTGGGCGCAGAGGCGAGGAAAGCAAGCTGGAGCTTACCGTGGCGAGCGAGCAGGCAGAAAGTGGCCAGCAGCAGCCCTGGGC